GCGGGGAGTCTGCTTCTCCCTCTGACCCTCCCCCCTCTCATGCTCTCTCTATCTCATTCTCTCTCTCAAATAAATAAATAAAATCTTTAAAAAAATCAATTCACAGACGTAAAGTATAAACCCTCTGGATAGCAAAGGATAAGGAGTAAAAACTGGAGAAAATTGACTAAAGGCATTAAAAAGAAAAGTAAATATTCTAGGGAAATATTCATATATCTTTTTTTCCTCCAAAATTTCTCAATGTGCTACTAGGCCTTCATTTTCTTTTCCCTCTCCACCCTGTTAGACTGCATTATTGATCAGAGGTACTGCCTCAGTTTCCTACAAGGTCTAGATCATTGTTACTTCTCTTTTTCCTAACTGGCTTCTGACTTATTGGCCCCAAAGAAGACAGGCACAGCCCTAAAATAGGTTCAAGTTCTAAGTAACACAAACACAATGCTTCTTCCCAAAGGAATGTCTTGGGATTTCCTTCATGGGAATATCATGTGTCTTAACCCAAATGAGGACAGAAGACATCTTTGCTCATGGTCACCACTAACCTCAGGGAGCACAGATCCTGGAAACAGAAAGAAGAATGGGGGCAAATCTTCCACTCTCTAAGTTCCTGATACAATGTGATAAATCAAACCACTTCATTATTTGTCATCTAATTCAATCTCAAACTGAATCTGAGCTGAAAAGCACAATGCTTATTAGGTTAAAAACCTGGAGATGCTTTACAAAGTACAAGACAAAGATAGAGATGTATGCATGAGCCATGCATAGTGACATTTTAAAATAGAGCACAAAAATGTATAAATCCTTTCCCTAATATGCTCAAGATTTTAAAAGTAAAATGAAAAATCTGTCAATGAGTCTGAAACCAAACCACTCAAACCGGCTCAATGTTTATAGATGATGAAGAGCCAAACCAATAATAATATTGTGGCATTGATTCTTTATGGTCTCAGTCACACCCACTCATCACTTAATATATTTTTTCTTCTAATATGTGTTCAATCCTTTTTGACGGCTTGGCTCAAAGCTTAGATAATGGAGCCAAACCATATCCCTTTGGTCGGTCTCAAGCTTGGCTGGACTTCCAATGACTTCCACATATTAAGAGCCACTCTCACAAAAAGCTTCATATAATAATAAAGCCACCTGCCTAACTAGTAATAAGAATCAGCATTTCTTGATTAGTTGTACAAGCTAGTCATCATGTTTAGGACTTTACACGCAATATGTCATTTAATCCTCACAAGAACCTGCTGACGTAGGTAGCATTAGCTCCATTTTACAGATAGGGAATTGAGGCAGGGAAGTTAGGATTTTCCCAAGGTCACAGGCTTAGCAAATGGTGGGAACTTGATTCTGTCAATTACATTAAAATTGCCGCAGGTCCACACAGTGTCCTTTAGCTACACTTTGAGGCAGATGTCCTGACTCACTTTTGGAAATGTAGAAAGCTTCACATTGCTGCATCATGTGAAGACTGGCCAGCATTTCTGAGGTGTCAGATTGGGACATACATTGCTCACCTTCAGATGGTACAGAGGTCTAATGTTCACAAACACGCGATCGATGACTAACTCCCTACCCTCTGCCACCATCATCACCTCCACCAACAGCAGAACTGCTACACACCCACATGAAAGATTATTTTTTGACTTGCAGTTTTTTAATTTCTTTTGATGCAATCAATGTAGTATGGTGTCTCCCTGTTTGCAGATACCGGGGGTCAGGGTTACACAAAGTGTGAGCTACCTCAGGCCAACCCAGAAATAGCCCTGGTCCTCCCATCCCTGAACTTCAAAGCCAGCCCATTCTCCCTGCCGCTGCTGTGCTGACTTCTGCAGTGGTCACGGGCGTGCAGCCTGGGTGGTCCCCCATATCCAAGCATTTCCTGTGCCAGGGAGCAACCACATACCCTGGTTCTGGGGACAGGAAGGCAAGGGAGGAAAAGACAGAGCTGATAAATACACCCTGGCTTCCCCAAACTCTCCCTTGGAGAAAGTCAACTATATATGAGCCGCATGTGCTTACACAAGGCAAAGCTTTCAACAGGACACCACCGTCCCACATTGCCTAGGCTTTTCCTTCCTGACTCCCGCATAGCAACATGGGAGGCCACGTGGTACCTTGTGGGGTGTGGAAAGATCATGAAACTAGAAGAGACCCAAGTTCTTATTCTTTCACTCACAAGCCCCAATTCTTAGTTCTCTATGCCCATCGGTATTCTTCATTTTATGTTTCTCTAGGTGGTGGGCACTGGAGCTTATTTGTTTGTTCATTTCCTGAATATAGGACAAACATAAAGCATTTCTCCCAAATTTCCTCAGCCACTGACTCTGTTAGATGAAAGTACTAATTGACAGTGTGCAAGTTTTAGTGTTCAAGAGTATTCAACTGGAAATCAGCTTCTGCATCTGAGAGAGAGCAGAAAGGAAGTCCCATGGAGGGCCTAGACTCACCTCAGGCATATCTCTTCTCAGGAGAGAGAACAGAAGATTGTCACCTGCACGGTAACTTTTCAACAGAAGCAGGAACTGAGCAGGAACACTGTCCCCACTGAGCATTTGCAGAAACCTCTTTCTCCAGCCTGTTATGGGGCTTTAATATAAGGGACGTTATCCAGAAAGACCAGGTAAATACAGAGAACCACCAGCCTATGCAGCTCTGGGGGAAGTTTCTCTTCTTTATGAAACTCATAAAGGAACCAATCCTAACATTGGGAAGAATACTAAGGTTCCCTGAACTTAAAAAAAAAAAAAAAAGTGGATGTTCAACAATCATGTGCTGCAAGGTGGGGAGGAAGAACTGGCTTTTCTTTGAAACTAGAAATCCATTTGGCACCTCTGTTCAGTAGACACAAGGAGCAGATCCCATGGTCACAAGTTGTTTTATCTAAATTTTTTGTCCTGGTTTCCTTTTGTTGTGAGTTCCAAGCTGCTTTGCACCTTTCCATCCTTTACAGCTATTGAGTCTCTTCTACAGATCTGTAAAAATAAACAGGCCATTTCCAGATTACCAGCCAGCGGCACCACATCCTGTGTTAGAGCTAATGATAAATAAGAGTGAGGCAGGTAGACCCCAGACACATCTGGGAAGCATCCTCTTCTCTGAACAGAAGCACACAGCATTCAATTCTAGCCAAAGCTTGTTTGGTCTTGTGGTCTGCTGAGTTGAAATGGTTATGCCATTTTTTGTGTGTGAATCTAAAGATTATGTTTTTCATCTGACATTTTTCCTTTTTTAAAATTTTGTATATAAAAAGTAACCCCCAGGGGAAACTCTACTGGCTTTAGCCATGAATCCCAGGTGTATCCTAATTAGCTTTAAAACTTATTTAAAAAAAAAAAAAAACTTCAAGTTGAAGACAGCTAAAGAACTAGCAGCCAGAGTTTGGGCTAATTAACTCTTCTGGTAACATCTAGTGACTGGAAACTGTGGTCTCAAAGATTCTGTGATAATGTAGCTACCCAGGATCTTATCTGCACTTTTAACTTCTTTTAAATTAATCAGCTATATCATGATTAAAAACCTGAAATTATTTTTAGCTCTAGTTCTTATTTATTCTCTTCCCCTATTCCATTAATGTGTTCTTCACTCTCTCCCATCTAAACCCTCCAATCTCTACTTAAGATATAGAAACTTCATGAGACCAGCATCACTCTCTCCTCCCTAACGTGTGTGAACATACACTGGGGGATAAGTGTAGGGAATAGTCTTTCTTTTGCATCCTGCATTTAGCATTCTCAGAAGCGTGGGCAGACTGAGGATGGGCAAAGACAGCAGTCTTGCCAGATTCCACTCAGAGAACTCTCATTCTGCTCCCTGGAATCTTAAGCTGCCCTCTCCATCTTTCCTAACTACTCAAGAGAATGTGTTTTCACTTGAAGCAGTCTCTTGGTAGTCTGCAGTAAAAGGAAAACTGCACCTGCGGTTTTATGACGGCCCAGGGAGGGACCAACTATAGATCCGTTAATCCTGTCCATCCTTCTAGGCTAGCCTGTGACAGTGGGCAAATGGGCCCGGAAAGACTGCAATAAAAACACAATCCTACTGACCTCTCTCCCACCACCTTGTAAGGACAGGTGTCCCTTCAGGAAAACTTAGGTTTTATCCAGCTCACAGTTTACATAGCCTGAAAAGGCTATTCAGAAGACTTAGACAAGAAATAAAAAATCTCTAATTTTCTATTAAGGAAAAGGAATATTGGCCCAGAAATCAAAGGAGCTGGCTTCTAATCCCTTCTCTGCTATTAACTAGTTTTGTGACTTTGGAGAAAACAGTTTCTTCACGTGAACATTATTAAGCCAGAGGATTCTAAAGGCCCCTTCCATCTATAAAAATTCTATGACAAAATGTACTCTCCCATTTGCTCCTTTGAAGACCAACTGCTATAACTGCTAACTTCTGTCCAAATATCAGACAGAGGAATCAGACTCAAGGAAACCCAGATTTACATTTCATAGAACTCTAAGAGAATTTTCAAAGACAAACGTTTACCAGTCTTTTCTGAAATCAGAGAGCTCTTGCATGCCAATGCTAGTTATAAGACCTACATGAAATAAAATATCATTTTTTCTGATGCATTGATCACCAGTCAGAAGGTTAAATTCAGATTCCCTGATGAAGCAAAAAAGCAACTCTAAAAGTTGAACAAAAATAAATAAACGTGACTACAACAATAGAAACACCGAATGAACATTTTTACTCCTTATTTTGTGCCAGATATTGAGCTAGGAATTTCTGCCTGTGTTATCTCAGCTTAGCATTATAAACAGGCTCAGTCCTCTCATTATGTTCTCCAATTATCAGCATCCCCACCCCCCCCCAGCCAGCCTGCCATATGCCCATGTCCAGCACAGAGATATTGTATAAGGCAAGACCTTTATACACAGGCACACCCAACCAGTCCACCCACCCTATGGGCTTCCAGAGCTGTCAGCTCAACACATCATTTCCTGGAAGGAGGAAAAGAGTTCCCTCTTTGTCAAAAAGAAAAGAAGTCTCAGTGTTTACCTTTTCCTGGTATACTTCCTTCAAGTCTCTGGGAGTATTTTATCTACACAAGGAGGGTCATTCTAATGTCTAGATCAATATCTGCAAAAGCTTTTAAGCTGTAATAACCATGATCGTCAGCACTCAACATATCCTGACAAGACCCCCTCCATGTCAAGTGGAGTGAGTAAACTCTTAGGAAGGAATTTTTAGACTCACTCCTTGGCTACCAGAACTTTCAGTAGAAAAGTCCATAATCATTAAGCCAAATGCAAGGGAACAGGCATTCCCAATGATATAGTTTTAATTTTCTTTAAATCCAAACAGCACAAACTTCATCACTACATTGTTGCTAACTAATGAGTTGAATTTTGGCAGCCCATTAATCTTAATTTTGTAAACATTGATTTTTTTCCCCCTAGGTTTTGAACGGAGCTAAAATTAGTATGGGTTTTTGTTCTGTTTTGTTTTGTTTGGGGGGGGGTCTTTTTTTAGTATAACCTCCTTTTCAACTTCCTGCTACTGGATATTTTATTGCAACAAACAGCTCTATCCTTGACCAGGGTCTAAAAAGAAGTCAGAAGAGTTCTGGGAATAATGGTCCCACCTCTCATCTTGTTTCACACACTTCCCTTGTCCCTACTGGGACATGGAGCCTCCATTGACTTCTAAGGAAATTCACTTGAGGCTAATTAAAACTATGGGGCACGAAGAAGCAGAAGCATGTCCTCACCTTTTCCTCCCCAGTAAGATCTGTTTCAAGGACCAAGCCTATATGGGAAGACTTCTGAGGGTTTGTGGTATAAGATGAAACTAGGAGGTTCAAGCCAGCCCTCATTCATTTGACAACTGCTGGTTCATCTCAAGTTTCTCTCATAAATGCAAATGCCTAAAAATTTAAGTTCAAATGTCTAAGGATTAAAACTGAAAGGATCTCTCCCACCAAAGGGAATGCTCATGGCTTCCAGTCTTTCCCCACCTCGCTCTGGGTTCTTAGCCACTGCCATTCAGCAAACACAGTTTAGGGAACAGCAGTTTTATTAGTGTTGGAGATGTGTGGGATGAACTATATTATTTTTAGTTAAGCTGAGAAGGTCATTTCACATCACCCATTTTCTCATTATGCCCTCTCTTTAGCATGTTCTCACTTAAAACAGCCTACCCATCTTTCCTTTTTCCTTTTTTCCTCTGTGATAGACTATTCTAGGTTATGAGCTCTTGCCCCTTATTTTCCTCAGAACTACCATACTGTATCCTCCAAGATTCTCTCTTCCCTTCTCTACTATACCCCTACAGTCAGTTGTGATTACTTCATATTTCTACTGATAAAATACCAATCCAATCTCTGAGTATCATCTGATAACTTATGACAAACCAATCACATTTCTTCCTTTGAAGCATCCTGACATTTATCACTTTCCTTCAATATTTTATGTTACTTACTGAAATTCTAAAAGCAGTCATCGAATCAGTCTTGGAAGAAGGAGAGCATCTCCAGGCAGAAGGCTGTACTTGTGGTGATAAAGTACAGAGGTCCCATGGTTAGACAGCACATAGCCAGGTAGAAATCTTAGCGCTGCTACATACTAGCTGCATTTCCTTGGTCATGTTATAAGCTCAGAAACAGTGGCCCAGAGTCTGGACAGAATGGAGCATGTTTAGCAGTTAGGTTCTGAATTTTGTTAAAGCAGAGCAGAAATATTTCAAACCTTCATCCACTGAAAGATAGAGTGGAATCAGCTCACATTGATTTCACTGGGTGTGGGCTTTTCACTCTGGATTTCTTGTTGTAGTCCAAGTGTGACAAAGAAGTTTCGTCAAAACTATCTCTTAGCAATTAACAGTGGTTCATTAGAACTCTGTGTTGAGAATTCTGAGGCCAATGGCTCTTAGAGCAACAAAGCATGATTGATTATTAATGTCTTCCATGAAGAAGGAAAAAAGGTGGCTTACATGTTTATGTCTGCCATCCAGGCAATGTAAACATTGGAGGTCAAGGAGGGCAATTTCAGCCAAAGAGTGACATGATAAAAGAGATGTTTTAGAAGATTAATTTGGCAACAGGTTATAGGATGGGCTGCTGAGAGAGAAGTCAAAAAAAAAAAAAAAAGCAAACAAACAATTTGGAAGCTTTTGCCAAAATCAGGACAGCAACCATGCAAACAGAAAAGAAGGAATACATTTAAGAGATTTTAAGAACAAACTGATATACTTAGCATGACTTCTAAAGAGCCTTTAAACTGAGAGCATTTTTTAATAGATTTCATTTTTTAGAGCAGTTGCGGGTTCTCAGCAATGTGGAACAGAGGGTACAAAGATTTCCTGTACACCCCTTATCCCCACACTTGCACAGCCTCCCCCATTATCAAACCCCCCACCAGAGTGGCACATTTAATACAATTGATGAACCTACACTGACACATTATAATCACCCAAAGTCCAAAACTTACGTTAGGATTCACTCTTGGAGCTCTACATTCTGTGCGTTAGGACAAATGTATAATGACTTATATCCACCATTATAGTATCATACAGAGTAGTCTCAATGCCCTAAAACTCTTCTGTGCTCTCCCTATTCCCTCCTACCAGCCCCTGGCAACCACTGATCTTTTTTACTGTCTCCATAGTTTTACCTTTTCCAGAATGTCACAGAATTTGAGTCATATAGTATATAGCTTTTCAGAATGCCTTCTTTCATTAGTAATATGCATTTGATTTTCCTCCATTGGAATGACATTGGCAGCTCATTTCTTTTTAGAGCTGAATAATATTTTATTGTCTGGATGAACCACAGTTTATTTACCTCCTCAAGGACACCTTGGTTGCTTCCAGCCTCCATGGGCAGGTTTTTGTATGGATGTAAGTTTTTAACTCTTTTGGGTAATTACCAAGCAGCACAACTGCTGGATCATATGGTGAGAGTATGTTTAGTTTTGTAAGAAACTGACAACTTGTCTTCCTAAGTGACTATACCATTTTACTTTCCCACCAACAATGAATGAGAGTTCCTATTGCTCCACATTCTCACCAGCATTTGGTGTTGTCAATGTTCTGGATTTTGGCCATTCTAGTAGGTGTGTATGTTATCCCATTGCTGTTTTCATTTTCTTTTTGACATATAATGTGGAGTAGAGTTAAGGCATTTTGAATCTTGAGAAGGATAGCGTATTGGCTAGTTCTTACATTAACAAAGATTCATTTATTTCATTCATCCATTCCTGAGCACTGTCACCTAGCAGACAGCAAGATAAGAGGGCATTTGAAATATAGTACAGGTAAATTTTGACAAAGGACAGGTAAGGAAAATTTTGGATGAGGTGCATTCCTAATTGGTGAGTATTTTGGTAAACACAGTAAGGTTTTACCCTGGTAAAGCAGTGGCCACCTAGAGGGAGTCAACAACCTTGAGCAGAAGTGTTAGAAGATATTCAAAATAAATCTTGCCTTCTTCATAATTTTGACCAGCAGCTCTGGCCCTTTGGTGACAGATTATAGGATGGGCTGTCTCTCCATCTTGTGACAGATGACTACATGTATAAGGTATATCATGGCACTTATGCCAGAAGGAAAGACACAAGGCTGACACCAGATCTCATTTCAAGGACGTCTCTTAGAAGGCCTCCTGGATCATAAGGCAGAGGGAAAAGGAAGACATTGATTATAATCACTAACACTGCAAATGTATTTACTTGTTAATTTGTTGAGGGACCACTGTGTATGAAGCTCTGAATTAAAAACCATTTCAGATGAGATTGGGCACGTTCAGGGCGGTATGGCCATAGAGACATATTTTAATTTGCCGTTTGCTTTCTTATTTGGCCCACTGCTTGTGCAGTAGAGTGTTGTTTAACATTTACATTAAATATTTAATATTTACATTGCAGATCTTCCAACTCTTTTATTGTTGACCTTAGTTTTATATCATTGTGGTTAGAAATATACTTGGTATGGGGACGTCCGTTCATCCTCGGTGTAGGGATTACTTAGTGCTGGGCCTTGCGCGTTTGGTTTTTTTCTTCTTGACCGGAGGCCTCTGCAGCAACCATGTTACGCCAGATCGTGGGTCAGGCCAAGAAGCATCCGAGCTTGATCCCCCTCTTCGTATTTATTGGGGCAGGAGGTACTGGAGCAGCGCTGTATGTCTTGCGCCTGGCATTGTTCAATCCAGATGTCAGTTGGGATAGGAAGAATAACCCAGAACCCTGGAACAAACTGGGTCCCAATGATCAATACAAGTTCTACTCAGTGAATGTAGATTACAGCAAACTGAAGAAAGAAGGTCCAGACTTCTAAATGAAATGTTTCACTATAAAGCTGCTTAGAATGAAGGTCTTCCAGAAGCCATCCGCACAATTTTCCACTTATCCAGGAAATATTTCCCCTCTAAATGCACGAAATCATGTTGGTGTATTGTGTTGGGGTTTACACTGAATAATAAATATCTGAAACTTGAAAAAAAAAAAAAAGAAATATACTTGGTATGATTTCAGTCTTCTTAAATTTATAATATTTGTTATGTCTCTTTTTATGTGATTTAACCAGGGGATTCTTCTGTGTGTACTTAAAGAAAGTGTGTATCCTACCTTTCTTGGATGGAAGGCTTTATGTGTATCTTTTAGAACCATGTATTCTGAAGTATGCTTCAAGTAAAAAATGTTTTGTTAAAAAAACATAACTTTAACTGAGGACACCCATTTAAAATAAAGATATCAGAGGGGAGGTGGGGGGATGGGTGAAATAGGTGAAGGAGATTAAGAGCACACTTATGACGAGCACTGAGTAATGATATACAGAATTGCTGAATCACTATATTGTACACCTGAAACTGATATAATACTGTATGTTAACTATCCTGGAATTAAAATTTAAAAATTAATTTAAAAAATAAAAATAAAAACCATTTCAAAATTATAAGAACAATGTATATCCTCCAGAAACATATATTCTACCTAGGAGAAAATGCACATGTTTATTAAAATTAAGGAATTGATTAAGAGATGGCATAGGCCATAGATGGCAAATGTCCCTGCCTTATAATAGTAAGAGTCTTAGGCATGCTACAAGTTGAGTGAGTGATTTGGGAAACAGGAATAACCATTCATTAAGTGCTGAATCACAGAGATTTCCCAAAGCTAGACAAATGCTAGGCAAACGGGAATAACCAATGAGGAAGGGCTGTTTGGAGGGGACTGGCCCGGACTGGGGCTCCCTCCTTCCTGCACAAATGTGTCGATTATGTGAATCCAACTAGGCTGGGGGGACAATGATTGGAACATTTCCTTAGACAATGGCCCAATTGAAAGGTCACTTCCTGCCACTTTCCATGTCCCTGAGGGGGAATCCCATACTGGCTCCCAATAAACAGAGATGCCTATGTTGAAAACCGGGCTTCCAAACAAATCCTGCCTGCCAGAGTCATAAGCCTCCACTTCAGGGTTTAGCGATGAATTTAAGATAAGTATTCACGCTTAAATGTCCACTCAAATATAATGAAATCTGTACAGTTTTTCAATTTACAATCATTGCAAAGTAGCTGAGTTTTCCTCTACTTTGTTGACTCTATGATTTTTCATATCATCTGAGAAACAGAAATTCTTCACTCCCAAATGAGCAACATTTTGAACTCAACCCTGACCCTAACATGATAAAAATCTGTGCCGTTGAAAAGAAACATAAAGTGTTTTGTTGTTTTGTTCTGTCTCTTCCCCTGAAAGCCATCCAAGGGCAGAATCCTGTTGCCTTTGTTCACAATAAATACGACATAGAAAGAATATGGTATTTTAGACAGAGCTTTCAGAAAAATCCATATAAGGGCAAAAAAGAAACATTTGATGCTGAATTCTTTCCTAATTTAAGACATTTTGAGTCCAGTTTTTATTTAAAAAAAAAAAAAAGGATAAGAAGAATTCCAGGGCAAATGTTCCTGGGATTTCTTGTGTGAGCTAACAGTAGTAATCAGCAGACATTGTCCAAGCCATTGAAGGAACCCTGTATAACCTAAATGTCTCCTCTGTGTGCCTAGCCAGCACTGGCCTGCACAAAGATCTCATCCCTTCCCCAGCCTGCATCTTCACCCCCGGAGTCCCGACATTAGTTCAAAATTCTTCTGCAGTTTAAACATGTTGGTGTGTTGTTTTGAAATTGCTCTCAAGTTATTTTCTGGAAACATAGCATGATCCAATGCAGTGCTTATTAAAGCAGAAGTTCTGTATCAGAATCACCTGGAGTTTTATTAAAATGTAGATTCCTGAGTCCATGCCTGGAATTGCTGAATCTGGAGTATCTGTGGGAGAGATCCTGGTATCTGTATTGTTAGAGACTCTCCTGTGGTTTGAAGCTACAGTGCAAAGAATCCTGGACTTTGGACTCTAGTCTTAGTTCTACCATTAAACATTCATGATAGACTTTCAGCCAGGCATTTTAATCTCTACAACTCAGTTTTTCAACTGTAACACAGGATTATTGTGAAGTAATATATGCAGAAGTACTGATACAAATTAAAAAAATATTC